CTATAGTCGTCTCAGTCAGGTAGTAGAGTAGTGAGTAGTAATAGTATCTTCTTGGATATACAGTATAGTCCTAACTAGGGCCTAGGCCTAGTAAATTATGGAGCTAAAATATAAATAATAACAATATATGCAATCATGGATTAGGATAGAATCAGGCTTGTCCCCATTAAACTGTACAATGTAAAGGAGCTCTGGTGGAGAGGCTACAGAATAGATTACTGTACGTATGACTCACGGCTGGAAATCCCAACACCGCACGCTGGCTAGCTAGGCCTAGCAGTAAATACTCTGCATCTCTTGTTGATTTTCGCTTTTAAATCGTAACAAAATGAATAAAATCTAATGAACAATCATCCGCAATCACCAACAGATATTATAATCAATTAAGCAAACAGTGTGTGAAGATGTTTTTATGTAAAAATACCGTACCGTATTCCCGTCAACTGCAAATAAAACTGTTGTTGTGTTGCGATCCGTGTGATGTATTAATCGAGGTACGCATTATTGATATTGTTATTTAAACCGCAACTGGATTAATAGTTGTAATAATCAATACCGTTTGTATGGTCGCAATCTATAAACGACCGCCGTCATTATAACCATGAATTCTGATTGGTGCGTGAGATCAGGTGGTTAGATTTTCAACCATCTGCCTTTGTTTACTTCAGGTGCAGCTAGAAAATGTATAAAAAGTACGAAATATCATTGAAGGAACATCTACGATGATGGTGGTTTTGTTGCAGATAGATACTAAATTGTTGAATTTACCCTCATGATATGCTAGACCTAGTTTAAAATCAGTTCTAGTTAAATATACAGTGCTGTGCTAGGCATAGGTGGGCTAGATAGACCTAGCTCGGTGTCCTCACTCAACAGCTCCGAAACAGTCACAACACTCTCCAGTCCAGGAGCTGCTGGCTATGTTGTATGTAGGCGACCGGCTAGTTCCATAAACTTGAGCAAATTATTTGTTAATCCGTTTTTCCATGCATACTGATGATAGACAGATGGATCTTTTCAAGTACCAGCATGGAAGTAGGTGTTTAGCCTACTTCTTTATTTTTATATAGCCTATTTATTTATTTTTTATTCTGATGTTTTTCTAGGCCTTTTTTCCTGCAGTTTACATCCTCAAAAGTTTTTATTTGGATCAGGTGTGGGCTGGGGTTTCTAATCTCAATACTGCTAATAGTATTACATGTACAAGCCAAACTTGTAATTTGTACAGATAACACAATCCAAGACATCAGTAGATTTTGCCTATAAATTAAGCTAGCACAGCCTGGGTTCAGTAGTTTTGCCTATAAATTAAGCTAGCACAGCCTGAGCCTGGGTTGTTTTCCTCATACCCAGGGTTATTTTTCCTCAAAAGACCTGAAGCTACAGTAACTGTGGTCATGATCCAGGCCAAAGAAGTAAATGTCAAATAGTATGACATGGATTGAAATTTGTTTCTACATAAAGAAATTTAATTAGTTGGTATTATATTTCCAGGCATGAAAATACTGAAGTTTGTTCATCTGACTGATGAATATGTATCCACCAAAGAATGAAAATGAATACAAATCACATCCCAGAAGACAACGTTGGATGCTACTAATACTTGTACCTTCTGGGTGAGCCTGCATAGTTGAAAAAGACATTTTAAAACAATTTTCATGTCCTCTTGTGCTGTAATCAATTTCAATGTATAATTCCAAATACAAATTGAAAGTTTATTGTAGGTAGTCAAACTTTATTTTATAAATCAGTAAGAAAAAGGTCAAACACATTTTGATTTTTAAATGAAACACATTGATTGATTTATCAAGTGATTGATTGACTTTATGTCAGTTTTAACAAATTATTTTTGAAGAATTTAACTGGAATTTATTAAATTTGTATATGTTATATAGGGTGTTAATATATGGATCTCACTCTGTGTTGTTAAACTTGAGTAAAGTCAATGGAAGCGTACCATTTAACTCAGCATCATGTGTTGTCATGATAGAAATTCTCAAGGTAAAATATATGATTTTTATTTTTTTTTTAGTTAATAAAGCTGTAGAAGGCTTAATTTTTAAATTTTAACTTTATTCATTTTAACAACACATTTTACATTTTAATTCTCATCTCATTCATTTTATTGTAATTAATCATGTTCCTAAATCTGTAGTAGAATGGCATAAATGTTTATATTTTTATGATTTTTATGAAATTGTGTGATGAATTGTTTGCTTGGTTGCTTCAAATTTGTTGACATTTTAACATTGAATTTATTTAAGATAAATTTTAATATATCATCTGAATATTTTAAATACCTATTAAATAATGTTTGTTTTATAGATATATAGTTTTTAATAGTAACTTTTGATGTTTTATCTATTTGAAGAATTATATATTGTAAGCATTTTTTTTGTCAAAGGAATTCACTCAACAGTGATTAAACTAATCACTGCCTCATGTTTTTTTTTTTGTGCTGTTTTATTTGTTCTTTGCTGTTTGTTTCTGTACATTTTAATGTTTGAGACAAATATATGAAATGAAATGTCAAGTTATTTTCAGTTTTTTTGGTCAAGGTTACTTGGGCCTAAATCTATTCAAACAACCAAGATCTTCCTCTCCTTTTAAGAGACATGAAAACACTTAATTTTAGAGCATTCTCAGTAGAATCAGTTGTAATTGCTGTTAGGTGTGAGAGAAAGAAATCAGTATCATTTATCAATATCATTTAAATCATAATTATTAACATTATCATATAATATTACCAATATCATAATTATAATTATTATAGTTATTGTTGTTATCGTCATTTATATATTGTTTGTGTGGACTTATGAGCATTTTGTGATTTATAAATTCTGAACAGCTGCCTAATCCCCTTGGCAGTTCTCTGCTTTATTCAAGTGTTTTGCTATATTGATTCAATCAAATATTAGATACACTATCATGAATAATGTCCAAGTTATTATGCTCCAAGATGAAATAGTGCCATCTTGTCATTTTTATGAATTATTTTTGTCATTATCAATTTTTATTATTATACTTTTCATCTTGACAACTTTACCCTTCGCACTCTATCATAATTGTATATATTCAATATGTGTTAATCTCCCTGTTCTATCAACTTTACTTTTATTTGTTGTTTTTTAGTTAATCATTTCTTTGTTGCTACTATGGAAGGAATGTACTATTGATGGGAATGTTTTTGAAATGCTGCCATTCCGACATGCTTTGCTGTTCTCTGTTCCTGCACTACTCTACTGTCTAAACAATAATTTTGTTGTTCATATACAATTGTATATGGATCCTGCTAGCTTTCAGGTACAAAAAATATGGCTGGACCTTGGCACTTTGTGTACCTTTATTATTAGTTTAATTTTTAGATTAACATTATTATTATCATTATCATCATCATTATTACTTACTTTTTATTATCAGTATTATTATTATTATTATTATTTTTATTATTATTACAGTATATTTATATCATATACATTTTTTATTGAATTCACACTTTTGATTTCCTGAAATTTAATTCAAAGCTTAGGATTCTCTTTTCTTTCCTATCTCTCTTCTAGGTTCTTAGTAACTTAAAGACAGTCAGCACTGCTTTGCTTTATCGTCTTATCATAAGACGACGTTTGTCTTCCAAGCAATGGCTTGCTATTGTATTGTTGATGTTGGCTGGTGTTGCAAACAGGTAATTAACATGGAGAAACTAAAATACACTGTTTTTATTGGAGTATTGACATGCAGGACTGATGGTGGTGGGGTGTGCACGATGGGCAAGGAAGGGGCGCTAGATGGAGGAATGAGTTAGTATGTATGTTAGTATGGATTTGTCACTACTTTTGTATAATTATTTTGCTCAGTAAACTTTAGTAGAGGGCAGAGTACTTAGTGTGGCACAGATGTGTTAAGGGTATACTGTATGTGAGAGATTGGTTGTATTTAAATGTAAATACAATTTTCTTTTTCTCTCCACTTTTGTGTAATTTTGAAAGGGCCCAGGCCGGCTCCCCCACCACTGAATCTGCCACTGTTGTCAACCTCATTAGTAGTAATATCAAATAATATCTACATTCCCATCAATTGAAGTTTAGTTGGTCTGTTGTATAAAATATTCAAACTAAATTGCTGTCTAGTTATGGAGGCCTACATTCACAAGAAGACACGACCAATATGAAGATTCAGATAAGTGGGCGTGGCTTAGCTCTGATGACTCTCTACTGCACTATCTCTGGTCTAGCAGGCGTCTACACAGAATATATATTGAAAAAACATCACCAGGTGAGGCAAACATAGGCCTAAGTTGAGAGAAAATGCTTAGTTAATCCTTACACATGAGCCCCCTATATATATTTGATTGGATATATAGCCGCATTTACATCCACATGTTTGTACAGTACATCACACAGCATATTTAAAGTATTTAAATCATTAGGAAGTGTACTGTGTGCATTACAGGGGCAGATCCAGAATTTTTTAAATGGAGGCACAACATATTCAGAATAGATAAGCGAATAGCGCTAAATTCAATATTTGCATTGGAATTTTAAAATTTAACGACACACGACCAAAATCCCACGATAGGTTGAATACAGCAGAAATCGGGTAAGTTCATAAATGTTGTAATGCTCAGTATTTGGTCAAGAAATTATTAGATGCCAGCCTGCATTATAACGCTTTTACTGTATACCTTGTTTTTTGTAGAGGCATCACACACGTCTTACGATAGTAGAAAACCCGATAAAAAGAGTTATTTTTGTAGTTACAAACTAGTCATGACAGTATATAGGACTACAATGCTACTACTACTACTACTAATACTAATCACTGGGAATTGTTTTTTATTCCATTATTAGTCCTACAGATGTGTATAAGAGACAGCTGCCATGCACACCTCAGCCCCACCATGGTTGGTGTAAATAAGTGGTAAATAATCGAGCTCCTTTCATCCACTGCTGAATTGCCACTGAACTCATGGGTGCACTCCATTTTTCCTCTCTTTAACTAAAATTTTTTCCCCACTTTAAATATTTTTCGGCTTGACTGATTGGGGGGTGGGAGGGGCACGGGCCCTCATGGAACCCCGCTGGATCCGCCACTGGTCTTACATCTTGAGGTACAAGCCCACTTTCTACTTCAAAGTTATTATAGTCAAAAATTGCAGCCCTAACCAAATATCTGGTGTGTGGAATCGAACAACTTTTGAGCAAACCTTAAATTAGTAAGAGAGGTAAGTCTTCGAATTTGGCCTCCAAATTCGAGACACTTTTGGGATCTGGAAATTTAGTGTGGTCTTAGCATTCGGTTTCCAATGTGAGTGTTAGCTTTGTGCTCAAATATTGAAGAGTGTTAAGTTAGTACTCTGAAAAAGATGGTCTTGAATTCAGGGTGTCTCGAATTTCAGGAGGAACTGTGCCATTAATCAATATTGTAAATGAAAACTATTTTAAATATACGTTTGTTTACTTTCAGGCTTTTAATGGATTGACCATGTCAGCCATCTTTAAGCATGCTAATAACATCATCAGGCTGTTCATTATATCATCTGCTATGGTTGTTACGACGATTCTCTCGATGCTGCTGTTCTCGCTGCAGCTTAATATATACTTCTACTCTGCTTTTAGTCTTGTAATTATTTCGCTTGTTTTGTATCACAAAAAGTGACAATTTTAATTTAAATGCCCAATCACAGGTGCTGATATCTGGATGTTTAAATTACCAATCTGGCAAATTGGACTCGTAACAAATCAGGTCCCTCTGTTTAGCATTTCGAAAGTGACATTTTTGAATCTTTAGAGCTAATTAATATTTCAGACCTTAATATGTTTTGTGTAATCATAATTGCTAAACCCAACAGTTAAAAACAACACAACAACAATGAATAAAAAAACATTGAAACATAACGCTAGAGTTCAAAGGGTAGGGGTAAAGGTAGGAATAACCCATAACCCATAACCCACCTGCAGCGTCATTTTGCTGAATTGTGTATAAGCGCGGTTCGTGACTACATAGTGCCATAAAGAGGCGCTATGTAGCTTTATTTTCACATCATTTCACATTGACGGGGCTGAAATGAACCATAGCATCGGATCGGAGTAACCTGTTCTGAAAGGTGCAATGTGTTCTTTAAAGTGCACACGAGCGAGGAGCAGTCCGAACTAGCACCGATGTTAAGGCTTATGCTCTAAATAATATTATTTATTGTTTCTGTACATGGTGTAGATAGTTTTATAATAAAGTATACTGTAAAGATATTTATAGAGAATTGTGTGTTGCTTCTATGTTTTTTTTTGTTTTGTTTGTTTGTTTTTTTTTTTTGGATAAATATGTCTACCTTATCTGATCGCCTATACTAAACGAAGTCGGATTATCTCATCTATAAGAAAGCTATATATAATAAACTTACTTTTGGATATTGGAATCGTTTAATTTACACAGTATTAATAATAAATAAACAAATGAATACACTTTTTTTAAAAGAATGAGCAGATTGTAACTAATCAAAAAGAAAAGAGAATAAATATGAAGATTCGATCATTTGTTGGCAATAGACCTATAACATTAACATACCGTCTTTCAGGTATAATAATTGTCTAAGGTATTATTTTTAGCGCCGCAATTTTACCACACTTTCGTACTTTACTTCAATACAAAGTAGGATTTTTGAGTTTGAAGAGTGCCAATTAGACTTAGCAACCAATCAGAACAGGACAAGGAATACGTTTGTGGGACATTAACAACAATATCCAAGGGGCGGGGCTTAGAGGAAAGGCTTATATTATATCGTAAATGCTCGAATAAGCGCCGAGAGCGGCGCTTTAACATTTTTAGAGGCTTCAGTGCGGCGCTTACAGTATTCGAGAGCGGCGCTTATCTGGGAGTGACGCTTGCCATGCCCGTTCGTGTAACCTATTTCACATATTCCCGTTCAGTAGGCCTATCATAGGTCCTCTCATCGTAAACAAACGTCTTTTATAAAAAAAAAAAATGATTGTGTCTTCATTGTTTCGTTATTCATTTTAACACTGTATACATTGTATTTAAAAACCTGTTACATTACACACAGTGTAATATTATATACTCTCGATTAAGCACCGCGGTGCTTATTCGAGAGCGGCGCTTATTCGAGCATTTACGGTATGTTACATTTTTTTCATTCATCTATCTTTTTTTAAATGTTTTTTAAAACAAAAATTATATGTGTTTTTGTATGAAATTATATATTTATTTAAGTTATGGGCGTTTCCCTTTGGGAAACAATATAATTACTGTATTACACTTGCCCTAAAGAAATAACATTAAATATAGATCTTTGTGCTGCTTTAGTGCTGTTTGGTTCGATATGGAATCTTTTCTTTTAACCCGGCGGTCGACAAAGCTCTCAAAATCCTTTTAACAATAATAAACGCCCCGGGGTGTTTAATCGAATACATATTATTACTTTTTGATGTTTTATTGAAAATCATAAGGCCTACAATAATTTAAGGGGAAAAAATTGGAAATCTGCAGTTCTCTTTCTCGCTCATATAATTTAGCCCGTCCCGTCATTGGCTGTCTCTGTTTTCATTCATTGATCTATATTTCTACGGATGACTGCACACTGAGAACGTCTAAGCAAAGGATCAAAGGTCACCGTTTTCTGCTCAAGGTCTACTATTTCGTAAACCGACTCAGAACGACACACGACCAAAATCCCACGATAGGTTGAATACAGCAGAAATCGGGTAAGTTCATAAATGTTGTAATGCTCAGTATTTGGTCAAGAAATTATTAGATGCCAGCCTGCATTATAACGCTTTTACTGTATACCTTGTTTTTTGTAGAGGCATCACACACGTCTTACGATAGTAGAAAACCCGATAAAAAGAGTTATTTTTGTAGTTACAAACTAGTCATGACAGTATATAGGACTACAATGCTACTACTACTACTACTAATACTAATCACTGGGAATTGTTTTTTATTCCATTATTAGTCCTACCTCAGTGGTAACATAAATAATGACCTTGTACCTCTTTATAGTATACTTTAATATAGGAATATAATATCATTTTCTCTAAACAATAACGATCGGTCGTTTTTGGCAGGCATCCAAAGTAGCTATTGCCAATATTTTGATATGCGGTTATTAAATTCCTCGGGTTTTGCATACATTATTCAGATAGCACGGGCCTGATCTACTTGTTTGTTTTGTTTTGTTTTGTTTTTTTTTTCATGTGAAGTGTGGGCCTGGCCATTTAATTTTGACGTTATTAATACCCTTCTCTCAAAATTCATTAGTAGATGAGCCGTGTTACTGTAGTCTGGTGGGCGTATGAAATAAAAACACTGCTCGGACTTCTGTAAATTATACCGTCTGTCATAATTCAATTTTCGCCAAGCTTTCGCCAGCAGCCTGCTGGCTAATCAGGTGCAGTGGTACAGACAGAAAATTAATTGGAGTTTAAAACAATTCAATGTGTTTCATCGCCTCAATGAAATCTGCCTTGTGGCAGGTTCACACAGGTTGAGGCCACAGTACATGACATTGTCATTGTCATTGACAAAACATTTATAATATTAATTTCCAGCCATCGTGTTCTTGCAGTTTACAGGCCACATCATAGTAAGTATATTTCTTTGGCTACCACCAAGATTGTTGCAGGGGGAGGGGACGTTGCAGTGTTTATGATCTATGGGTGAGACCAGGTCAGAAAGGGTGGTTGGTCCATTATAGTATGTGGGGAGGGGCACATTCCGGGTTAGTTTTTTAT